GGCAACCTCCAACTCCTGGGCTCAAGCGAGTCTCCTGTCTCAGCCTCCCAAGTAGCTGGGACCACAGGCACCCGCCACAATGCCTGGCTATTTTTTTGGTTGCAGCCATCATTGTTGTTTGGCAGGCCTGGGCTAGATTCGAACCTGCCACCTTAGGTGTATGTGGCTGGCGCCTTAGCCACTTGAGCCACAGGCGCTGAGCTGGCAATTAGATTTCTTAGTCTGCTGAAAGGCCAGGGGATCCCCAGGGCAAGGAGGAACCAAGACCTTCTCAGGAGCACTCTCTAGTCTGTAGTACTTCTCTAAGCCACGAGAGGCTCCTGGCAGCGATGTGAGCCAACCTAACTTCAATCCCTTATGTTCCCAGGCAAAGCTCCATAAAGCCTGCTCTGAGACAGGTATCTAGGGCTGTCTCATCTCAGCCACATGCCAAGCAGGTGTCTGTCTCAGAGCCTCAGGCTGTAGGTTTCTTCACTGGCTGAATCCTAAGGTTCTCAAGGTAAAGGACATTTGCCAGGTGTGGTGGGTCATGCTTGCAATCCTAGCATTCCAGGAGGCCAAGGCAGGTGGATTGCTTGAGCTCAGGAGTTCTAGACCAGGCCTGAGCAATAGCAAAACTGTCTGTACAGGCTCAGCGCCTGTGGCTCAAGTGGCTAAGGCGCCAGCCATATATACCTAAGGTGATGGGTTCAAATCCAGCCCCGGCCTGCCAAACAACAATGACAGCTGCAACCAAAAAATAGCCAGGCATTGTGGTGGGAGCCTGTAGTACCAGCTACTTGGGAGGCTGAGGCAGGAGACTCACATGAGCCCAGGATTGGAGGTTGCTGTGAGCTGTGATGCCACAGCACTCTACCCAGGGTGACAGCCTGAGGCTCTGTCTCAATAAATAAATAAATAAAGGGTGACGCCTGTGGCTCAAAGGAGTAAGGTGCCACTCCATATGCTGGAGGCGGTGGGTTCAAATCCAGCCCCGACCAAAAACTGCAAAATAAATAAATAAATAAAAATAGAAAAACTAGCCAGTTGTTGTGGAAAGCACCTGTAGTCCCAGGTTCTCAGGAGGCTGAGGCAAGAGAATCACTTGAGCCCAAGATATGAGCTATGATACCATGGCACTCTGTTGGAGGGTGACAAAGTGAGACTGTCACAAAAAAAAAAAAAAAAAGGTAAAAGACACTTGCTCAGGCTCTCGCTTAGTCCCTGGTGCTTGAGGCAGTTACTCTAGCTGCAACTTTAAGACTGTAATATTGGGCTGGGCATGGTAGCTCACACCTATAATCCCAGCACTTTTGGAGGATGAGGCAGGTGAATTGCCTGAGCTCACGAGTTCGAGACCAGCCTGAGCTAGAGCAAGACCCCACCTCTAAAAAATAGCTGGGTGCTGTGGTGGGCACCTTGTAGTCCCAGCTACTTGGAGACTGAGGCAAAAGAATTGCTTGAGCGCAAGAGTCTGAGGTTGCTGTGAGCTATGACACCATGGTACTCTACTAGGGTGCAACAAAGTGAGATTCTGTCTCAAAAAAAAGACTGCAATTTCAAGTTTATTGTTCCCACTGGACTGTAAGGAGCTGGAGGAGCCCTAGTTCCTATAGCACATGAGGCACTCAGTAGACACAGGCTCATAGAGTAAACAACCCATGTTGACCAACTAATGAGTGCCCATTCCTGGAGCTGCTTCCAGTCCATGGGGCTCTGACAGGTGGGGCTATGAGCCTCTTTGCTGGAGGGTGGGCCCTGAGTCCCTGCCTCTCCTAGGAGCACTCATGGGCTCAATGCTTCTCAGAAGGTGAGCACTAGGACCTTCCGTAAATCTGTTACATATGGTTCTACTAGGATGCCAGGGACCCTATCATTTTGCTTCCTGCCGGTCGAGGCCTAACCGTTCTACCCCATGGTACCTTTAACCTTCAGCAACTCTCTGGGGCACTCAGAAAAAGTCTATGGGTCCACGTTCGGGGCACTTGCATGACCATTCAACAGACACACACCCACTCACTGTTGATTTCTTTCTTTCTTTTTTTTTTTTTTTTTGAGACAGAGCCTCAAGCTATCCCCCTGAGTAGAGTGCTGTG